CTCTCAAATAAATAAATAAAATCTTAAAAAAAAAATATATATATATATAATAATAAATTTGATATAGATTAGACAATTGTAAATAATTAATCAAAAAAAATCACAAACTCTAGAATTTTTTATATTTTTGTGAAAACTAATGTTTTCATGTTTGGTGGGACAAACATGAAAACACTACATGAAAATTTTCTTTAAGTTCTTGTAGTATTTAAAAAAAAAACAGAATTTGAAATGGTAGCTAACGTATTCTGAGTGTGGTTTATGTAAGAAAAATATGTCGAATTCTAATCAATAGCTGATGCTATATTTTAAAAGGGTACTATTGGGGGCACCTGGATGGCATAGTCACTTAAGCATCAGACTCTTGGTTTTGGCTAAGGTCATAATCTTGGGATCGTGATCTCAGGGTTATGAGATCAAGCCCCGAATCCGGCTCTGAACTCTGCTGCTCGGAGTCTACTTAAGTTTCTCTCTCCCTCTTCTATTGCCCCTCCCCCTCTAAAATAAATAAATAAGTCTTAAAAAAAAAATGTACTTATTGGCTCTGTATCAAAAGTTTAGTGACTGAATATTTATGTTTTAGGTTAAAATGTTAAAAACAACAAGCTGACAGATACTGACTATAATCAGGAAAAATATGAAAAACATACCAGAGAGTTATATCTTTCTCTAGTATGAAATCATGCTGCACCTGGATGGGATGGTATACTTTATATAATTCAATGTTATGAACTGAAAAGGTGCAGGGGGGCTATGAGAATGTCTAAGATGACAGAACCATTTTTGTACAAAGTAATCTAGAAAGAGGATAGCTGAGAAGTAATGTGATTTTTACACTTACCATTTTTTTTCAACTGCTGGAGGCCAGGAGTGGCAAAGAAATTATCACTGGTCATTGGTTCTGGTTCTATGGCCTCTTCACTGGTGTAATTCATAGGGAAATTATAAGATTAAAAAAGTTAATATTGAATCTCTGGGAAAAAATTCAATCTTACTATATATCATCAAGTCTGGACAAACATTCAGTTCTGTTTTATGGAACAGAAGTCCCATGGAACTAATCTTTTTTTTTTTAACTAATGTATATCCATGGCTCAAAAAAGGTTATACACCACTTTGTATCGACAGGTGTGACTTAGAAGCAGGTTAAGAAACTCTGACTTAAGGGTAAGCCATACGTTTAACTCATTAGTTCAAATATAGGAATTATATAGCTCATGGTTTCAAAACCATCAAGATAGTTTCATTACTAAGTGAGATATCCATAGTTTATCATGTTAATGAAGTAGTCTATTTTGAGTTTGACCAAGCATTTTAAATGATGAATGAGTGTCAAATTTTATCAAATTCCTTATTGGTATGTATTGAGATTATCCTTTCTTTTATAAAGTCATTAAAATAAAGTATTTTATGAGTTTCTAAATACTAAACTATCTTTGCATTCCTAGGATAAGCTTAACTTGAAAGTTGTCCACTATACTTTTAATATTCTGTTAAATTCAATTTGTGAGTATTTTTTTTTTTTAAAGATTTTATTTATTATTTGACAGAGAGAGAATGAGAGAGAGAGAGCACATGAGAGGGGGGAGGGTTAGAGGGAGAAGCAGGCTCCTCGCCAAGCAGGGAGCCCGATGCGGGACTCGATCCGGGGACTCCAGGATCATGACCTGAGCCGAAGGCAGTTGCTTAACCAACTGAGCCACCCAGGCGCCCCAATTTGTGAGTATTTTAACTGGGATTTTACATCCATGTTCATAAATTAGATCAGCTGTAGTTTCCTTCTGTCTGTGTGCTGTCAGTGTTTGTATCAAGGGTATGTCAATCTCATAAACTAAACTGCAGCATTTTTCTGTCTTATTCTACTATTAGAAAAAGAACTTTTTTTAGCCTATCCTCCAATAAAACTTTATTTACCAAAAATAAGCAGCAGGCTGGATTTGGCCTGTGGCAGTAGTTTGTAGACCCCTGATAATGACAGTTCTTTTTAAAGGTCATTATTTTCATAGCATCTCATTCTTAAGGCAATTTATAACTTTGTTATCCATTATACTCCACTGACTCTGTGTGGTAAGCAGGATGGGTATGATTATATACATTTTACTAGTGAGGAAATGGAAAACAGAGGTTTTATGAATCTGAAGAGTCCAGGTGAGGTGCTGGGACCCACAATACAATGGTCTATACAGGTTTTCTACTTCAAGCTGATTTTAATAACTGTGTATTATTTTCAAAAAATTTTCATTTATCTGAACTTTCCAAATTTCCCAATACTATGCCCTATCGTATTTCTAATAGCTTTAAAAATAATAAATATAGCCTTTTATTCCTAATTTTGTCATTTGCATTTATGTTTAAGTAAGAACCAGTTCTTAGATTTATCAACTTTACTCTCCTAAAAATCTTTTATAATGACTTTTTATTTTATCTTTGGTGTTTACTCCCTTCTCTTTGTCTCACAATTGTGGGTTTTTACTTGACTCCTTAAGTTGAATGTTTATTTGCCTTCTTTAATAATTACAGTTCTTAAAGATATGGATTTATCTTTAGCTCTTGCCTGGCTGCTTTAATATGGGGTATTTTCATTTTCATTGTAACTCTTTAAGTACCACTTCCACACTATTCACTGCACAAAAACTGGTCACTGAGCTCCCAATTCATATTAATATACCTACACCCAAGAACACCTCTACTGGGACCTCTAAATCAACATGGAAGCGCATTCACCTTTAACCCAAGCTGCAGGTTTTCCTGTCTTCATTGTTTTCCCATGCATCATTACAGGTAACAAAACAAAGTCTTTGATTTATCCTGGATCCCCAAGTCTTCTCTCCCCACATCTCCATGCAAAATCATTCACAGGTTCTTACTGACTCTACCCTTTCTCTCTCCCACCAAACACCAAACTCTTTCAGGCCTGTATTACTCCTACAGCATCTAACCAGAAATCCAAGAGCTCACACTTTACTCACAGAATTGCTGATTCAGGGAAGTTTGAAATGTGAAGTATCTGAAAACCATTCGAAGGAAAGTTACTGTCTGAAATGTCATATCTCTTCTAGGAAAAATCAATACATACAAAAGATTTAGAAAGTTAGATAAAATGTGCCTTTTATGAAAGTGGCTTACCATTTATTCTCCTTCATATTTTTAAGTCCCATTGTGTAATCTTCATTTAAACATGCAGTACAGTCAGAGATACCGAAATGTTCTAATTTAGGAGTTACACACTCAAAATCACCCATCTTTAGAGCACATTTTGGAGTTTTTAGTACTTTAACTAGTGACTGTTTAGAAGATGGAGTTAAATTTTTTGGCTCTTCTTCATGGTTGTTTACTGCCTGTGGAGGGTTTGCTGGAACTTGGGATATCATGTACCGCTCAAGTCCAAAATCGGAAAGTTGTGGACTCCGTGGAGACTTCTCAGAACCAGAAGTGCTCGGAACAGCAGGATCAGACAGATTGTCCTTCACATCAGGCATTTGAAAATTTTCATGCTTCGTGGACTCTGATTCAGAGTCAATGATTTCTTGTTCATCCACTGTGAGGAAGAACCAAGGAGGTCATATTTTGGTCAAACATCAAACCACAAAATCCCATGTACTAAAACCATACAAAATAGCTCCATCTGAAATGTCCCAAATCAGCAAAAGTCCTGATTCCCTCCTTAGTCTCTAAAGTTTTATTTCAATTGTCCCTCTACAAAATTCCTGACATGTACCTCTTGTGTAGCCATATCCCATTTTTTTTTTTAAAGATTTTATTTATTTATTTGAGAGAGAGAGAATGAGAGACAGAGAGCACGAGAGGGAAGAGGGTCAGAGGGAGAAGCAGACCCCCTGCTGAGCAGGGAGCCCAATGAGGGACTCGATCCCGGGACTCCAGGATCATGACCTGAGCCGAAGGCAGTCGCTTAACCAACTGAGCCACCCAGGCGCCCCGCCATATCCCACTTTGATGACACATTTAAGAAGTAAACTTAAATGTTAAAAGATGAAAAATCAATGCAAATAAAAGTCGAATATCCTTACTTCCTCAGTTACTGTGATTTACCCATCTCTCTTAATAGACTGTAGAACGATTTTACCATTTTATGACATTAAGCACAGGGTGGAATTAACTATGATCTAGACTTAACACAAATATAATATTATTTTAGATTTTTCATTTACAGATGCCTAAGTTAAAAAGGAAAGACTGTTACACCAAGATAAATTTTTATCCTTAGTCTGGAACACCTGTATCAAAACCCTGGTTGAGGAAAATAACAGGAGAGCATTAGAAAGACCTATAGTTTCTCAACCCTGAGTAGGTTATATCTGGCTCCAGACCCCATATGCCTAACCACCACACTGAGCATTTCAGACTAAATAACTGAATAACTATGCTTTTCCCCACAATCCTTTGCCATTTCCTGCATACATTAATGGTTAATGAATTTGGTGCGGGACGCAAGTTGCAGTTAAAAGGTCCGGGATAGCACTATGATGCCAAGAAAGAGTTTAAGAAGGAGAGATACTAGCTTTTAGTGCGAGACAACAGAAAGTCAAAGAGGATAACCAGAAAGAAGACATGTGGATTTGGCCAGGATCTGGGCAGAGATTAGCTTAATAAATGACAGGGTTTCAGTGCGATAACAAGGTATGGAGAATGGAGGGGTGCCTGGGTGGCTCAGTTGTTAAGCGTCTGCCTTCGGCTCAGGTCATGCTCCCAGGGTCCTGGGATTGAGCTCCGCATCAGGCTCCCTGCTCAGCAGGAAGCCTGCTTCTCCCTCTCCCTCTGCTTGTGTTCCCTCTCTCGCTATATCTCTCTGTCAAATAAATAAATAAAATCTTTATAAAAGGTATGGAGAATGGAATGGGTGTAAGAAAATGCAGAAGGACAGATGTAAAATGTGTAGCATGCAGTGGAGAAGAAAAACGAACCAGTAATTAGAAAGGGTACCAGAAAGGAAGAGAAAATGGAGAGGATGAGATGAAGGAAGACAAATGAAAATGTGTTTAGAATCCCCCCTGGGACAAGCATTTGAATGTTTCTCCATTTAATTTTCGTATTAACTGTTTCAAGCATGACATATCTTAGGATATTTTTTCCTTGTTTTTATAGATAAAGGTACCAAACATTTTGGAAAACACTCAGCTGATTAAAATTTAAAGAGCCAAGACTTGAACCCACATCCTTTGATTCCAAACACTACCATTTGTTTAAGAATAAGGAGGGAGGGAGTTAATACAAAGATCTGTTTCAGATGACCTTGACTAGATACCATTTGGTTGCCAAATTGGAAATATGAATTGTAACAACTGCACATATTGAAAGAAATGGGAAAAAGTTTCTCCAAAATTTGTTTGTTGCATTCTTTTCAAGAAGAAAGTGTTTGTACTTCTCTTGTTATGAACTGGAATATATTTTTCTAAGTCTGATAATGACCTTTTTTGTTTCTCTTCGCTTCATCTTTTAAAGGAAGGTCTATAGTTAAAATGGGGCTATCAGACATTGGTACAGATCCCTGCCAAAATCTTCTGGATCCAAAGGAATAGGAAAGGGATAAATTTAGGCTGTACATTTCCTGGGCCAGCCAAGAGCTCCAACAGATTGGAGGAAGTGAAGAGGAGCACATGTTTTCTTTAAAGGTAGTATTTTCTTTGTTTTGACTGGCAACAGGAAATGAATTAGGATAGGGTACTATTTTTGCATACATGATAAACCAGGACGTGTTAAATATGGAGTATGTACCACACAAAGAAAAAAAAGTTACAGACTTTGATTTCATGGCTCTTGGCCCTTGGAAGAACTGCTGATTCATTGAGTTCTGTTTAGGCAATGTGCTTTCTGTTAATTTGGAGAAATGTTATAAAGGCTACCAAAAATCTATTCTTGTATTTATCACAAGGCTATCATTGATGAGATTAATAAAATCAGCAGCATATCACTGCCTCACAGGGAGGTATTATCATTCCCATTTTGCAAGTGAGGAAAAAGCAATTCAGAGAAATTATCCAAAGTCATGCACATGTAGTAACCGGTGGAGCCAGTACTTGAATCCATAGCTTGTTCACAATAAAGTCAACTGAATTCTTTCCATAGTACCATGCAGACTGTTTAATTTACCCTCCACACATATCCTCAATATACATTTGTTGAATTTAATTAATGGTTTACTTATGCACAAAGATCATTCTCTTCATAGAAACAAAGACAATGAAGCATACTGAAATTAGTCACTCACAGGTATGGGCCTAACTGTAGTTAACACTGGGTGATTAACATGCCAGGTACTGTTCTAAACAAATTTTATCTCATTCAATCCTTCTACAACCTCAGAGATAGATACAAACATCTCCACTTTACAGATGAGACATTGAAGTACAATGTTAAGTAACTGGTCAAAGATAATACATCTAATAAATGGTGGAGTTAGAGATTTGCATTCAGATAGTCTGGCTCTAAATTCTAAACCACCATGCTATACTAACCTTCATTAAAACTGAAGAACTTAAAAAGGCCTTTATCAGTTTATAATGCCCCAAATTTCTCATTCTGCAGTAAGAGAAAATTGAGAACAAGAAAAAGGAAATAGCTTGCTTTAAGATTAGTCTCTCAGCTATTTAGCAGCAGAGCAGACTAGAAACCAACTATCCTAAAATCATGTAGATTTATATCTTGTGGAGAGCAAGGACTGTCTTTGTTTTTTACACCACCAATCAGCACCGCATTTAGCACAGTGTTTGATGAATAAATGATGATCACGCATGACAGTCACATAATGGCAGAGCCAGAACCAGAAACCATGGCCAAACCCAGAGTAGTCATATTTAATCATGCTGCCTTCCTTCTTTAATACTAAAACAAATACTGTAAAATACAAGTTGTTCACACCTGAATCTTTCTTGGCACGTGGATTATATCCATACTTCTGGAAAAACTCTCTTATTTTCATGATATCCACTGAATTTTTTTTCATCAGTACTTTTGTTGCCTTTATGAAACCAATGCTTTCTTGACTTTCCAAACTTGCTTGATCAAGAAGAATACTGACATCATCCTTTTATAAGGAAAAAAAGTACATTATAATTTCTCTATCTTTTGACTAAGTCTATCTAGATTTTAAAAATTATGACACAAAGATGATCTATTAATATTGTAGAAGTGGTACCTTTAGAGTCTGGACTTCTGAATGAAGGTCATATAAAATTCTCATTGGGTAATCTTCCCAGTCTTCAATATGAATAGAGAAAGGAAAAAGTGCAATAAGGAAAAAGAGGAAAAAGAACAGAAAATATAATTTAGTGTTGTTTCTTAGAATTATAAAATCCTTGTCGATATTTATTCATAATTTGTCAATTCCAAAAAAAAAAAAGTGTAAAGACCTTTCTTTTAAAATTTATGAAATTACAACATACATACAGAAAAGTACAAAAGTCATAAGTATATAGCTTCACGCACTTTGAAAGTGAACATACCCTACATAATCAGTACTCAGATCAAGAAGGAAAGAAGGGAAGGGAGGGAAAAGGAGAAAATGTAATCTGACTTAGCAATTTTTTTATGGTGAGCACCTTCTGGTTCCTAGTTTTAAAATCTTTGCCAATGACAACACTTATGTTTTCTTCTAAGTGCTTTACTGTTTGCCTTGTGCATTTAGAGCTACAATCTACCTGGAATTGATTTTTTTATATGGCAAGAAGTAAGGATCAAGATCCATTCTTATTTTCCATATGAGTGTCCAACTGACCTGGCATCATTTATTGAAAAGACATCCTTCACTCATTGTACTGTCACTTTTCTTCCTATCAGTTGCAATATGTATAATATACATCATGTAAAAGCAGTTTTTTAAATACTATTTTTCTTTCTAAAACATGCCTCCTTTGAAGATCTCCTTTCACTTGTTAAAAGCTGACCAATTTTCATTTGGGAAGTGCAAGTCAACAAAACAGTGATACTTCATACCCACTAGAATGACTATATTCAAAAAGACAAATAATAAATGATGAGGATGTGGAGAAACTACAACCTTCATTCATTGCTGGTGGAAATGTACAATGGTGCATCCACTTTGGAAAACAATTTGGCAGCTCTTCAAAAAGTTAAACATAGGGTTATCATATGACCCAGCAATTCTAAGAGCATACCAAAGAGAACTGAAAACATTATGTTCACCCAAAAACTCACCCACAGATGTTTACATACATTCATAGTAACTAAAAAGTGGAAACAACCCAAATGTTCATCAACTGATGAATAAACACAATGTGGTATATCCATACAATGGAATATTATTCAGCAATAAAATGAAGTACTGATACATGCTTATGACATGAACGAACCTTGCAACATTATGCTAAAATAAGTCAATCACAAAAGCCTACAAATTGTATGATTCGTTTTATCTGAAATATCCAGAATAGGCAAATTCATACAGACGAAAATAGATTAGTGGTTGCATAAGGCTAGTGTGGTAGGCGGGGGTGGGATTATGGGGGTATTGATAAATACCCATTATATGTGACTTGAAAGCATAACAGTCACGAGGGTTTCTTTTGAGGGTGATGAAAACCTAAACTTACTATAATGGTTGCACAACTCTGTGAATTTATAAAAAACCATTGAGTTATAGCCTTTATTCCTTTAAAGATTTATTTATTTGAGAGAGCACGGGCGCACAGGGGCAAGGTGCAGAGGGAGAGAGAGAATCCCCAGCAGACTCCCTGCTGATTCATCACTGTGATCACAAAAGGTGAGATTTTTTGGTGATCATTTTCTCTATCACAATTCCATATTTTCTGTAATACATATTGGCTGCAAATGAAGAAAATGCAAAATTTGTGTACACAGTTAATATGCTGGTAAGAAGGTAAATTAACACAAACTTCATGGAAAGCAATTCAGCTATATATCAAGAATGCAAAGAGGCACCTAGCTGGCTCAGTCCCTTGAGTATATGACTCTTGATCTCAGGGTCATGAGTTCAAGCCCCACATTAGGCCTAGAGCTCACAAAAAAAAAAAAAAAGAGAGAGAGAGAGAAGACAAACACAAAATAATAAAATACTAATAGTGCTGTCTTTGAATGGTTGAGTTATAGGAAATATTTGTTTTCCTCTTTCTACTTTTCCGTACCTCAAATTTTTTGCCATGTACATGTATTGTTTTACAGTCAAAAGAATAAACATTTTTAAATGGCTGGAACACTATTCGTAATATAAATAAACTAAAGGAGGCTGTGTCTATGGGGCACCATATTTTAAGGCAAATTACAATTATGACATTTATAAAATAATCTCAAAATCTGAACTACTCTTGAAACAATTTTTAAAAAAACTTCTAATATAAAGATTAGTGGTGACGAATTCTGCTATATTTATTTTTTTTAAAGAGCAGTATTCAGGGGTGCCTGCCTGGCTCAGTCGCAAGAGCAGGCAACTCTCGATCTCTGGGTCGTGAGTTCGAGCCCCACATTGGGTGTAGAGATTACTTTAAAAAAAAAAAGGAAGAAGAAAGGAAGCAAGCAGTATTGAGTACTAGTGTTTGTGTTGGCAATACTGTTTGCTGGGAAAAACAGGCATTTCCTGCAACTGTGGATCATTTGGGTGAGACAAAGTCACTATGCATGTAAAGAACCCTGCTGCATTTTGTTTAATTTTAATTATATTGTATTTTTATTGATAAATACCCATTATATGTGACTTGAAAGCATAATATGTATAAATTATTGTATGCATTATGAGTTCAATCTGTCTATTTACATTCTTACTCTACGCTGTTTCTCTTTACAACACAGTAATAGAGCTATTTCATTATTTGAGGAGAGCAAATGTGGTCGTACATAGAACTGAAAACAGCCACAACATACTTGAGGGGGCATAAGAATAATGTAAAGGTGGCACTTGTCACTTCGGGACTGCTAACGACAGCCAGCATCTTGATAGGTGTACCACCCCCATTCCGTATCTCTTTCGAAGCACTCCTCACCACTGTAGACAAATAACCTTTCTGCAAGTGTGTGATTTTTACTTGTTAAGGCCCTTCTGACATGCCTCACTCCTGGCTGGCTGAGGGCGGCCGGGAGGGTCGTAGTAGCCGCGATCCGCCACAACGCCCACCCGCTTCACTCACCGCTCTCCTCTCCGTCCAGCGCTCGCTGCAGCCGAGCCGTCTCGCTGTCTAGGGTGATGGCCAGAGACCGCAGCTTCGCGTGGAAGTTTCGGATCAGATCCATGGGTAAGAGCTCCTCAGCAGTACACTAGACGCAAGGAGAGTCCACTGCTCCGGCTACGCCCGCCACTAGTTTGAATCTCTTTGCGCCGGAAGCGTTCCTGGCTCCGCGGCGACGCACTAGTCCTCTCTCGCGAGAACTGAAGTCTCGCGCGAAGAGGCAAGGGGGTTCTGAGGGACCGGCGCACTTCCGGGGTCGTGTCAGCTGGCGTGCGGAGTGTGTGCGGTGTCCTGAAGAACGCGGTCGGTGAGTTGGTTGGCATATTTCGTTGTTTCACGAGTCCTCTTCTTTTCCCTGTCGCGCCTGGTTGGGGTCCCCGCTTCGTTTGGGGTGCGGTGTGCGCTCTCGGAGATGGCCGAGTGGCAAGAGAACCGTGTTGCGCGCGCTCGCGTTTGCTTCTTCCCGCGGCCAAACAGTTCTGGAGCGACTTCTGGAGCGACTTCTGCCCTGTTTCAGCAGGTGCCATGTTCCTGACCGCCCTCCTCCGCCGCAGTCGCCTTCCTGGCAGACAGTGGATCGGGAAGCACCGGCGGCCGCGGACCGTGTCTTTCCACGCGAAGGAGAGGATGATCCGTCGCCTGGAGGTAGAGGCGGAGAACCATTACTGGCTGAGCATGCCCTATCTCACCGCGGAGCAGGAGTACGGCCACGCCGCGGAGCGCAGGGCGGCGGCCTTCGAGGCCATCAAGGCGGCCAGCATGTCCAAGTTCCCCCCCAACAGATTTGTGGTAGACCAGCTCGACCATCTCAATGTCTCCAAGAAGTGGTCCTAACCCGGAGCCACCACCTTTCAGTTGGACGGATCTCAGGGCTGCCACCTCTTGACCCGATTCTGGAACCGAAAAACTAACCTCTGGGGAAAAAAATGAGCATTTGGACCAGCCTTATTGAACAGCAGGCATGAGTGTAGTGGTCTGCATATAGAATATCTGGGGCTCCAAACTCTTTTATGCTTCATAGTCCTGTCTAGTCCAGTCTCTGTCCTGTTGTTTCCTTTTCCGTTACCCTGATGGGAAGATACAAGAGATTTCCTAGGTCACAGAGGATATAAAATGTATTTTGGATGAAAGCTTCCAAAAAAGCTACAAACTGTGATTTGGAATCTGTGCTTAAGTATGAGATACATGATGGGGGTTTACCTTTCTTCAAAAGAATAATTGCCTAAACATAATTTTAAAAAAAAGTTTTTTCAGTTACACATACTCCTACAAATAGCATTTTCTTCTGGGATTGCTAAAAGACATTAAAGTAAAAGGTACTCATCAGAACTGTTACATGAAGTTTTATTTTAAAAACCTCTTTTGAGGTACCTGGGTGGCGCAATCGGTTAAGCTGGTCTAACTCTTGGTTTCCCGAGATGGTGATCTCAGGGTTGGTGAGATCCAGCCCTGCATAGGGCTCCATGCTCTGGGGGGAATCTGCTTAAGATTCTCTCTCCCTCTGCCCCTCCCCCCACCTCAAATAAATAAATAAATCTTTAAAAATAAAAAAAATTTTTTTAAAAACCTTTCTGGGATGTAATAACCTTACAGTCCACCAGTTGAAGATGTTTGTTTTTTCAAACCTTTTTCAGAATGTAATAGTCAAGCACTTTACAGGTGTTACCAAATACAGTAATCCTATCACCTGGGGCTATTTTACATGTGAGGAAATATTTAAGAAACTTGTCCATAATCATGCCCAATAATGAATGTGACTTGGATTTTAGTTTCTGTATAATCTAGAAATCATAACTGCTATGTATGTGTATATTTAATAGAACATTTTCAAAACACGTAGAAGAAAAATAATTCAATCCCATTACCCAGAGATGAAACATATATTGAGTCTATATGGATAAATAGAATTTAGAGCTAAAAACTCTAACATTTAAGGATCGTGATGCGTATTGCCAGTGGCTTTCCAGAAAGATTGTAAAACAGCAAGATCAATGTATGAGAGTGCCAATCTCATTTGCCAGCATTGACTGTTACCTTCATTAATATGAATGATTCGTGATTTACATTTAAATATCTGCCATTGGGATGTATAGGCTTTGGTGGACATACTAGTTTTTTTTTTTTTTGATTCATTGCACCTGAAAAGTACCTGCCACATGATAGTTGAATGCTTAACCAAGCTGAACTGTTATTAATATGTCATTCTTAGTGGTGTATAAATACTTGTTGAATGCTTTTTGTAGTTTACAGAAATGTCTCTGATTCATATGAGCAATTTAGTTTGACCTTTTATTTTCATATCTGGAAATGGTGACAGCTGATGCTGTTTAGGAGAAAGGTGAAGGAAGGGGGCTCAGGGGACCTGCTTAAAACTGTAACTATGTTGCTTTGATACTCATGTAACTCAGAAACTGACTTTGGAGTTTGAAAAAGCAATGGTTAACTTGAACCTTAAGGAAAAAGATGCTAAAATCTTAGAGTCTGAAGAAACAGAAGGCAGTTCATGAGAAGAGAGGTATTTTATCCCCACTATACAGGTTAGAAACTGAAGCTCAGAAATGTCAGCAACATTCCCATGTTCACACAGCTAACAAACAATAAAGGTAGAATTCAGGACTAGGTTTATCTAAAGACCATATTCATTTTAATATAGTACACTAGCTGCTATAGCTTGTTTTAAATCACTTCTTGGCCAAAGCAATACTGTTGAAACAGCTGACTTTTCTCCTTGAAACTCTACAACTGTTACCACCATAGCCATCATAAAGTTAATCTTTTTTATCAACAACAGAGTCCATTGCCACCCAGCTGATTATAATTATATTGTAATAAAATATGTGCCAACCTGTACATTATGAACAGTCACTCCTTTGTAATACAGCTCCGGCTGTGTGTGTCATCCAGTTGTTCACTTTGCAAATATTTATGGAAGATCTATCATGACATCCTGGTGCTATTGATCATTAAGCTTAAGGAGTTTACTGTCTCACTGGATAAAAGGCACAGTGTAAGTAATACAGCATGAGATTGACTTCATGGATGTAAGTATAAGGTATAATAAGAATCCAGGGAAATGGTCATTTGTCAACCTTACCTGAAGAGTGAGGAAACTAACTTCAGAAGAGGTGATCTTTGAACAGATTCTTAGTTTGCCTGGTAGGAAGTAAAGGTAGAAGTAACAGTCTAATGATTAGTCATGGAATTGCCAGTAGTTTAGTTGCAATATAGGGTATTTGTGAGTGGGGAAGAGAAGTGATAGACAATGAGGCAAGATGGAGGCAGTGACCAGATTGTGAAAGTTCTTGTATGACACTTTAAGTAGTTCGGCTTTTATCCTATAAGTAATGGGGAGCCATCAAAAATGTTTAGTTAAATAATGGGAAGCATTGTGGAGAACGGCTTGAAAGAAGAAATGACTAGGAATAGAAAGACATGGTGGCTATTAAAATAATCCAGTTACATATTGAAATTTGGGTGGTGGGAGTGGAAGGAGGTTAAGAGAATTAACAGAAGTTTGTGACCATTTGTATAACCTCTAATTTTCTGCTTTGGGTCCCTAAGTGGAGGGTACTTTATGATTTAATCAGGATAATACATACACCTTCAGTGCTTTGCCTCTCCAGTGTATTCCCTGGAAAATCTACTGGATGAACCCGACCATTTGCCTTTTGTTGAGAACCAACTTAACTGCTGAATATTGCTGGAGAAAATCACTTAATTAGGATTATTAGTTTCTGCTTAAAGCTCTCTGAGGTCTGCTTAAATGACCACAAACCCCGTATTGGAACTCAACACTGCCCAGCAACCTTACCATGTGAGTTAGTTTGCTAGAGCTGCCAGAACAAAATTCACAGTGGCTTGAACATTTATTTTTTCACAGTACTTGGAAGCTGGGTGTTTTGAGATCAAGGTGTTGGCAAGTTGGTTTTCTCTGAGGGCCATAGGAAGGATCAGTTCCAGCCCTCTTTCCTTTGCTTGCAAATGGCTGCCTTGCTGTGTCTTCATGTTTGTCATGCTGTGCTTACAGGTGTCTGGTATCAATGTGTGTGTCTAAATTTCCTCTTCATATAAGGACACCAGCCATAGGGCCCACCATAGGCCCACCAGCCATAGGGCCCACCTTCATAGCCTCATTTTAATCACCTCTTTAAAGACCTTATCTCCAAATATGATAACATTCTGAGGTACTGGGGGTTAGAACTCCAACATATGTATTTGGGGGTCACAAATAAGCCCACAACATGTTTCTCTGATTGCTGTAATTCCTATTCAGTGTGATAAATTTTCTTCTCTCCAAAAGCCGCCTACCTACAGGCCTTCCTCCATCATCACTCTCAGCTGGGGACCTAGGCTCATATTTTACTGATAAAACTAAAGCCCATGGATGTGAATCCCTTCATCTTCACAGCACCAAATCGACATGTACTAATTTTCTTTCCTTTGTTAAAATCAAGGATGTGTCCCTTGTTTCCAATGCAATGCCAGAGTTTATGATGATTAATTAAACACATAGGTTTCTCTCTTCTCTCCCAAAACCTTGGTAAGGTGACAGTGAAAACATTTTTAAAATTATTAACCCTTGAGAAGAAAGGGAGAGAAAACAATAGACAAGCTATTTCAATGAATATTTTGGAAGAAATAAGAAGGATGTTTGGGATGTTGACACAACAAAGGGAAGAAAGTTGTAATCTAAGCATCTGTAGAAGAGGCAAAGAGCCTCCCAAGAAGCCCAAGTGGGAGGCAGCTGGATGATGAACTCCAGCAAAACTAGAGAGTAAAACAAGAATGAAAAAGGCATGAATTTATACAGGAGAGCAGGAAAGGAAGGTACCAACATAACTGTTTCGAAGTTGTCTAGTAGAAGTCAATAGGTCCAGATTGGAGCAGGAGGTTGGAAGACTCAGGAAAAGTATGATTAGAAGGAAACTTCCTTAACCTAACAAAGGATTCCTAAAAATGTATAGAAAACCTATTGCTAACATCACACTTACTTGTGAATGAACTAATTGTTTCCCCCTAAGATCAGGAACAATGTTAGGATGACTTTTTTTTTTTTTTTTTAAAGATTTTATTTATTTGACAGAGAGAGACACAGCGAGAGAGGGAACACAAGCAGGGGGAGTGGGAGAGGGAGAAGCAGGCTTCCCGCTGAGCAGGGAGCCCGATGCAGGGCTCGATCCCCGGACCCTGGTATCATGACCTGAGCCGAAGGCAGACGCTTAACAACTGAGCCACCCAGGCGCCCCTAGGATGACTCTTCTCACCAGTATTGTACTGGATTATATAGTCAGTGTAATAAAGCACTAAGAAGAAATAAAATCCATCCAGATTGAAAGTAAGAAATAAAACAG